AGAGGCGTACAATCAGCTGCAAAGATTTGTACAGATGTCCTTGCAACCAACGACCATGTCGGTGGTGAATCAAGATGATGAGAAGCAGCAAGAAGTGAGGAAAAGGCTGCTTGCCAGGTGTTACCTAAAGCTCGGAGAGTGGTTGGAAGCTTTGCAGGGCATAAACGAACATTCTATACCGGCGGTGTTGTCTTATTACGCTGCAGCTACGGAACACGACCCGACTTGGTACAAGGCGTGGCATGCTTTCGCGTACACCAATTACGAGACAGTCCTATTTTATAAACATCAGCAGGGCGATTCGAACAACGAGAGCATTTCAGCCAATGGGACTCGCAGCAATATTTCTAGTTCACAGTACATATCTCAATTCACCGTGCCAGCGGTCGAAGGATTTTTCAGATCTATCAACCTTTCACACGGCAACTCCTTGCAAGACACGCTCCGTTTGTTGACGTTGTGGTTTGATTACGGCCAATGGCCGGAAGTGTACGAAGCCATCATCGAGGGTATCCGTTTGATCGAAATCAACACCTGGCTGCAAGTGATACCGCAACTCATCGCGAGAATAGACACGCCCAGAGCTTTGGTCGGCAGATGCATACATCATCTTTTGATAGACATTGGGAAAACGCATCCTCAAGCCTTGGTTTACCCTCTAACCGTGGCGTCGAAGAGTGCCAGCCACGCTAGAAAGACTGCTGCCAATAAGATTCTTAAAAGCATGTGCGAGCACAGCCCGACCCTGGTGCAACAAGCGATGATGGCCAGCGATGAATTGATCAGAGTGGCGATCCTGTGGCACGAGTTGTGGCACGAGGGACTAGAAGAAGCCAGTAGATTGTATTTCGGCGAGAGGAACGTTCGGGGAATGTTCGACACGTTAGAACCGTTGCACGCGATGTTGGAGAGGGGTCCACAGACTTTAAAAGAAACGTCTTTCAATCAAGCGTATGGCAGGGACCTGATGGAAGCGCAGGAATGGTGTCGCCGGTACAAAGCTTCGCGCAATGTCCGTGATCTGAATCAAGCTTGGGATTTGTACTACCACGTTTTCAGAAGGATATCCCGACAATTGCCGCAGCTAACTAGCTTAGAGCTTCAGTATGTCAGCCCGAAGCTACTTCTTTGTAGGGACTTGGAATTGGCTGTGCCAGGGAGCTACAGTCCCGGGCAACCAATAGTTAGAATAGCAAGTATACACAGTTCCATGCAAGTGATAACTAGCAAACAGCGGCCGCGAAAGTTATGTATAAAAGGTCAGTTGCCTTTGAATCTTTTAAGTTGATCTAGTACGTTCATTATCGAGTAGGTTTTAGAACGTTTGAAACGTTCATTTGATGTTTGCAGGTAGCAATGGTAAAGATTACATGTTCCTTTTGAAAGGGCACGAGGATCTCAGACAGGATGAACGAGTAATGCAATTATTTGGTCTAGTCAATACACTCCTATTGCACGATCCAGATACCTTTCGAAGGAATCTTGCTATTCAAGTAAACATATTAAAATCTGTATGCAAATCCTATAACGTTACTTTACAACGTTGTCCTTTATCGACCAAATTTTATGTCCAGAGGTACGCTGTGATTCCACTGTCTACGAATAGCGGTCTGATTGGCTGGGTACCACATTGCGACACGTTACACACATTAATCAGAGATTACAGAGAAAAGAAGAAGATACTGTTAAACATAGAGCATAAGATAATGTTACGAGTAAGTACATAATATATATATATATACGTGCACGTTGTTTCATTTAATCGTAACAAGTTGATTTGCAGATGGCACCGGGTTACGACCACCTTATGCTCATGCAGAAGGTCGAAGTGTTCGAACACGCTCTCGAGCACACGCATGGTGATGATCTGTCGCGACTGCTCTGGTTAAAGTCGCCGTCGAGCGAAGTGTGGTTTGATCGTAGGACAAATTACACGCGTTCACTCGCTGTAATGTCTATAGTGGGATATATCCTTGGTCTCGGTGATCGACATCCATCCAATCTGATGCTGGATCGTTTAAGCGGGAAGATATTGCACATCGACTTTGGAGATTGCTTCGAAGTAGCCATGACGCGCGAGAAATTCCCCGAGAAAATCCCATTCCGATTGACAAGAATGTTGATTAACGCGATGGAAGTAACGGGAATCGAGGGCACATACCGAAGAACTTGCGAGTCAGTGATGTCAGTGTTGCATCGTAACAAGGACAGCTTAATGGCTGTGCTAGAGGCGTTCGTCTACGATCCTTTGTTAAACTGGCGGCTGATGGATAATGCGGCGTTGAAAGGTAAAAGATCTGATGCTCAGGGGATGAGTGCCAGTAGCAATCAAGAACACAGTGACGTGCTAGATTCTCTTACGGCCACACTACCAAAGAAAGGAGTACCGTGTAGCGTTGAAAATGGAGGTAAACCGTTTATTTTGACGAAGTTATTGCAAATGAAATCCAATTTTCATTTTCGACAAAAACGAAATAAAAATAATCGTATTATCATAGGCGATACTAATCAACCAGAGGCGTTGAATAAAAAAGCGCTTGCCATTATAACAAGAGTAAGAGACAAATTAACTGGACGTGATTTCTCTCACGAAGAAACACTGAGTGTTCAACGTCAAGTTGATCTTTTAATTCAGCAAGCTACCAATAATGAGAATTTGTGTCAATGTTACATTGGATGGTACTTTTTTATTATTTTATTTACAATATATTACAGACTTATTAGTAATCTTTATATAATTACTTGTTAATTATGTGTTATGAACAATTTATTGTTACGTGTTTAATAAAATTGTGTTTAATTTACAGGTGTCCATTCTGGTAAATGAATTTTCGTAAATGAGGACTTTAATGTGTATCATGTGCAGTCTCGTTCCTGTTTTTTGCATTTGCATTTTTTATTGTTAAGAAGTAATTATACGTAGTGTCATACTATTAGAGCATATTGTACATATATAAGCTATATTATTACATTGATTGTATATAATACTCATGTTATTCCTGCTTATAAAGTACAATGTACATTAGAAAGAACACGCTTCAGAAACCATATGATAATCAATTTTTATGTAAACATATGAAAAAAAAATCTGCTCAGGAATAAGATTATAGTAACGATATTTTTTTCTTAAGGATTGTCTTTGTATTTATTGTATAGGAACTGATATCTGAATTGTTACAAACTCACACACTAACACTGTTATTAATGAGTTTATACAATGCGAGCCAATGACATTTGCACATTTTTATAAGATAGAACAATATCTTGGCAAATCAACCGATATGAAACGAACAATGAATTTAAAGGAATAGTAAATTATGTTTTAGACATTTTAGGCATGATTTTCTTTCTACTAATAGTTCATTGCAATATTTCTGCATTACCCAACCCAAAGGCATAAGGTAACAACTTACTTAGTGACGTTCTTAACACAGATTTCATCAGAGGTTCTGCTAAGTAAATTGGTATATCGCCAAATTCCGCAATAGTTTGCCTACAGAGGCCACACGGCGTGGTGAAAGTATCATTCTCTTTGTCAGCTACTACGGCTAACACTTTGAACTTTCTCTTTCCTTCTGACACTGCTTTAACAATAGCTGTTCTTTCGGCGCATACCCCTACAGGATAAGATGCATTTTCTACATTGCACCCTGTGGAAATGGTCCCGTCGATACAAAGCACTCCAGCTCCAACTTTAAACTTACTATAGGGTGAATAAGCGTACTCACGAGCTGCCACAGTCTTCTTTATCAGAGATTGAACGTCTGGTTCTACAAGAAATATTTACTAAACAATTGATGTCACTCGCTTTTGTTTAGTGAAATGAAATAAAAGTTATTACTATATCAGGAGATAACAAAAGTTAAAGTTAAACTACTACTATTTCAGGATAATAAGAGTTATAACAAAACAAGATCCATTAAACAGCATTCTGCAATTTATTAAAATGAATTTAAATCAATACAATAATTATTGATTATAAAATGTTGCCAAAAAAATAAAAAAGATTAATAATAATTTTCTTTTATCATATACGTATGTTATAAGTACATTTATAAATATAACAACACGTTACTTCGGTACAACTTAATTGCTGACAAATCGTAACAGCTCAATTTATCTGAGACATGAAATCGGAACAAGTGCAATGATAGTTGGTGAACTCAGTTGCACATAAATAGCATGATATTAATGCTTACCTATGGCTGTGAAATCAATAACTTCTCCTATATTCATTTTGGTGCGAATTATTAAGCTATTATATCTATTTTCTACAAAGTCTGGCTATGATTTAATTTGTAATTTATGATTACATTGGATCTATTAGAAATAACCAATCAAGTCCACATTTCTTCACCTGGTCATTTTTTTATCACTGTAATAACGTGTAATCTCATCTTATCGAAACTGCTCGTCAAAAATATGTGTTATCTATCCTTTATACTTGTCGAAAATGCCGTCTCTGGATGAAAAGTGACGTGCAAATTTGCAAATTTGCAACTTTACAATAATTACGAATATGTGAATAACCAGCAAATATGATAACCAACTTTACAATAATTACGAATATGTGAATAACCAGCAAATATGATAACCAATGGAAACGCGTAAATTAGGAAGTAGCAAACGTCCACTTTCAAATTTCATACTTCACGTTATTTTCTGTATATTCTGTGTGATGATTGAGAACAAAAAATCTGATGAAATTTTTTTATTAACGAATAAATATTTCAATGTAACTCTCAAATTAATCTGTAACGTTCATAACTTAATTTCTAGAGTGGATTTCGGAGCCAACCAAAATCTAACCTAATCTAAACCTTCATATTTTCTGATTTGTCTTGACGATTGATTGCTCTACGGGTCTTCAGAATTCTTTAGGGCACAATTACAAATAGTTATAAATAGTAAAAAAACACGACGATGAATCTATAATGTCATAACGTATCAATTTGTTATATCATATTAATCATGGCAGTTCAGTGTTCTTAAATAAAAAAATGTGTACCACGTGGAAGAATTTCCGTGGAGGAATTTCTTTCTCCGTGGAGAAACTTTTTTCTCTAGTTTGAAACATTGTTACACTCTTATTGAGGGATTTTTAACTGACTTTAATTAAGGAGACACGCCGATTAATAAAACAATGTGCGAATCCAATCAATCCGTGTTTATTTCAGGACAGAATTTTTCGTGGGAACATCAAACTTCAGTTAGCTTTCGTGGATTTCGCATCTAAGGTTTTTTATTATAATATTTATGTATATTATAATATCCAGGTATTTACATATATTATATTTATTTATATTTATAATTTTTTCCAATAGATTGTAACAGTTTCCAATGGAATAAACTGTGTCAGAGACAAGAAATGCATCTATCCATTTTATGGCTTAAAGTAACTAAAGTGCTTATAGTAACATTTCATTTTATAAATTTCTTATTAACGATAGTGATCGATGTATAACTATCGCTGATTAACTGTGGATTAACTGTGAACTAGGTGGAAATGTTCAATAGTGACTTAAAAAATAAGTACTTGTGCAGTTGTTTTTTTTACGCGTCGGGTCGACTGTGCAATGATGCCACGTTAAAAATTCCAAATTGCTGATGCTGAAAATGATGTTATTTCATTAAAGAGAAAATCCAATGGCTCGGAACAGAGAATGCTTGATTGTAAAATCCACTTGAAGAAAATACGAATTATTATTAATAATTTTGGATCAAGTATTAGATAAATTACATAAAACAAATTTGAAAGGTAGATCCCAAGCTTAGCAGCCAAACAAATTTTTATTAATGAATCTTTTTTTATAAAAAATAATCGAGAAATTTATTATTTGACTATTTACTTACTTATTTAAAGCAGTAAATTAGGAATAATTTATTGAAATTAATAATGATTTAATTAATGATGCTTTCATGGCAAGAATTATTTTGAAGTTTAGGAAAAAGTTGTTTGCAAATTGTCAAAAATATATATTTTTCCTATAATAATTTCGACAACGTGAAATGTAAACTCGCGTTTCAAGTTTTTAGTAAGAGAGTTTCAGCTGCTATGTACCGCTTCGCTGATATAATGGTAATATAAATATATGATTCTTCGAAATTTTAAATAATTTTTTTGATAATTTAAAGCACCAAATCTGTTAGATCTCAATCCCATGAATGATATGATATTTCAATGATATTTGACAAAATTTAACTCTGCGATCATATTTTTTGGATTACATGGTAGTCGTATTGATTGAAATTATTTTTGAGTAGCGTGAGCTCAATTATTACTTAAAAAACATAAATTTTATTCAAATGTCAAAGGGTATTAATTTGGTTAAATAATCGTCGTACACTTCTGCCGGGAATGTCCCGGCATACGACCGCAACGGTAAAATAGCCTCGCCGGGAATGTCCCGGAGTTCGACCGCAGAGTTTTAATAGACAGTGCAAGCAACAGGAAAAATTGATACGGTTTCAGTTAATGATTTAAAAACACCTCCATGTTTTTTAGGATTATGGCAATCTGGAATTATGGCTTCCTTGCCGTAGTTGTAATGTAACTCGTCAGAAAATTTTTTCTCTGTTCTTCACATGCACGTGGCCACGAATTACAACCGAAATCCCACGACAAAAGCGGTATGACTTTCAGTTAGAAAAAGTATGTTATTAAATTTAAAAAATAGTGGAAATTGTACATACGATAGTGACCGTACCGTTAATGTCGGGAGATATGTATTTCACAAAAAGAATCAGCCACGTTGAATATTTCAATACTTTGCAATGAAGATACATTCGTTGTCAGTGCGTTATACTGCTGCGTTGTGAAATAATAGAACTAAGATGAAAGAAAGGCTCTTTGTTAAAATTTGTTCACATCTCATGATATTGCTTTAGAATAATATAGTTTTATTAATATAGTAGAATAATAATTCATGAAAATTTTACTTTATCTATATTGTATATTGTCCTATAAAAAATAAATTAATATACATTTCAAGAAACAAGAAGTTTTGCTAAAAGTAGTTAAAAAGAATTAAAAATAATTATTTATTAAAAATCTTCTGATTTTAAATTAAAAGTATTATGTTTTTTTATATTTTCATTTCTTGACAAATTGAACTAGGCATGAAAAAATTCTCCTAAAATGCACTTCATCAAGTATGCTTTGAATAAGAAATCTGAAACCTATTTAAATACTTTGTTGGAATTCGTCACGCTATGAGTAGAAGATGCGGTCAATGACCAAATCAGAAAAAGGTTACATATAAGCGCGACGAAAAAAACACCTACCCAACATTTTTTGTCCAAAGCTACCAAGTGGAAAATCTTATTTTTCTGTAATAAAATTCTGTAAAATTGTAAAACTGTAAAATATAAGTTCTTAATTATATCCTTTACAACATAATTTCTCAATTTCAAGAATCCAGATCCCATTGTCAGTTTATTATGTCATTCCATGTGTTATTCTATTACAAATATTATAGCTCAGACTTAATTCAGATTTAGATTTATTTAACTAATTTATAACGTCACTTGTACACTAATTCATAACGCAATTTCAGACATTTTCCAACAATAAATGAATCATATATGATATATCATACGTGAGTCATTAAGTTCATCAAGACAAATGTCACGAAGAAAAATATAAGGTTCCACTTCATTTGACCTTCAAATTTTTCCCCATTGTTCGAAGAAATGTAGTTTTCTCCTTTGTACCAAATTTGTAAAAACATTCCTTTAGTTGCAAGATATATAAGAATATATTCCGTATATGTGTTTGTATTTTTCGTTAAATCTTAATGAAATTGATGATTTATATTAAATAAATAACAAAGTTCTGTTATTATTATAATATTGCTAGGTAAAAATAGTTTATAGAAAATAGTTTATAGAAAATAATACTTGAATTAGAGAGCGTAATTTTTAACTAATAATGGAACTGCACAAGGATGACACGCAAATTCGTGAAGAATTTATGTTATTTGTCATATCTAATCCATAATGCTGCATAATTATAATGAAATTGTTAAAAACTTAACACAAATTTGAATATGTAATACAAGTAGATGAAAAGATATAATTTCAATATTTTAATTACTATATTTTAATTACTAACAATTTAAAAGTTGAAAATTAGTCAAAAATGAGAATGTTTTATAAGATAAAAATCAACTGCATGTATGATAATTATCATAAAACTATGTATTAATAATTTAAAAATTTTAATTTATTATATATAAAAAGTTATTATAAATCTGTAAAACTAGGGATAGAGCTATTTGTGATTTCGATTAGTTACTAGCACAGGTACACACACGAATCATGTGTTTCGACTCTGTGTTACTAGCTTCAGATTTCGATATTGGCAACACTGTAATGAATTCCAAAAATCATGTTTTTGACGCCTTCGTTACTTGATCTACTCCAATCGTTTACGCGACGTAGTTCTCCAATTCACCGTTGTTTAAGCGTAGAACGCGCCAAAAACCACTGACTTTTTGTTACTGCATTAGTATTGCAGAGCACGGGATACAAGGTCCGACAAGGTGCAACATCTATGCATATACCTCGTCTATGTATCGATATTGAAAATTCGACAACGCTATAATGAATTTCAAAAAATCACGTTTTTGGCGCGTTCGCTGTTTGATTGTTTTACTTGATGCGAGTTCTCAACGCTTCAATTCATCGCTGTTCGAGCATAGAGGGACCACTGATCTTTCACTGCGTCGGTATTGCAGAGTGCGAAGGGACACAAAGAGTCCCACGAGATGCAAAGTCTATGAATGACCTCGTCTATGGTATATACCACATAACGACAAATTCATGCCGAATGCTCGGCCGAGCCTTGGTTCATCGCGATGGACGCGAGGGCGCGCGCTCTGTCGCGTGTTAGTTGCTCAGCTGTTTTGAAGAATCGGCGCAGCTCGACGGTGCTCGGTCCGTAACGCGGTGTCGAATCGCTGCATTCACGTCCAAACGCAAACAGATGTGGAGTAGTGGCTGTCCAAAATTTTTGACGTATCTCGTTTCAGGACTTACCGTACAGCGGCGAGCAAACTTTTTCTAGTGGATTCGCGCAGCACCAGCGAACGCGGGTGTCGCAGGTGATCGTGTGTCAGAGGTTAGAGAGATCAAACGAAAAAAAAAAAAAAATAAAATAAAGAGATCGCCATGAGCGAGCTAAGCCAAGAGGAAGTGAGTACCCAATGCACACCGTTTCCAATCGTTATTCGATATAGCGTCCGTAAGTCCGCATTATGTTGTTACATATTCCTTTCGCTTTGCGCTCTCGCCTCTCTCTCCTTCTCTCTCTCTCCGACACGGCGAACGAGGGAACGTGACAGGGCCTCGTTTTTCCCCCCGGAGCGTATAGCTGTTGCGAGGGTCTAACGAGGGCGAAGAGAGGCCTCGTCGTGCTACGAGACAGAGCAGTTGCAAAACGCTGGCTACTCCGCTGTGGCATCGCGCCGAGACACTTACATAACGCGACAAATTGAAGATTGATCTCCCATTGTGACAGCGCGGTCCCTCGCGGGCGGTCCTCCACCTCGGACGTTTCATTCCCGACGTTTATTTACTCTCTTTTGCAATGTAAACAGAAGCCGCGCATCCCGAATTGATTCGGAGATCGTAGATTGCCAATTGCGCGTCTTAGCTTCGTTACGAGCGAATTCAAAACAATCGGCGGTCACTCGCAAGAGCGTGATATCCCCCTTCTATTTGCGCTCTTTGTTCTCGATACAAATATAGCCATTGTCTAGATGTTGTAGCGCGCTGTACGGTATTCGTATTACGCGAGAACATGTTAGAAAGTAAACGTTTTGTTGAAGAAATGTTTTTCTTTTGTTTTTCAGCGAAAGAAGCAGAAAAACAAGTATTCATCAAAGACGGGGCGATTAACGTTCGTATATTTGAATTGCAGGTAAGAAGAAGACGCATGGCCCGTTTGGCTGGCTTGGACAGCTTCAGCTCGACCATCAACACGAATCACAACAATGACCCAGTCTCACCGAACACGCCGGGCCCGTCGAAGACGTTCACAGAGCAGATCATATCGCCGCTGAAGCAGCAGCAATTTCAAAATCCCGAGGTGCCGATGGAGATAGAGGAGAGCAATAACAAGCAATGCAGCAGTTCCGACAGCAGAGTCGACATAGACTCGGGATTTGAGAACATGGAGGTGGAGGAGTGCGACAGAAAAGAACTGAAGCCGAGATCACGTGTAAGTGTATGTATGTACATACATATACGTATGGCGGCGTCGTACACGCGTTCCTCGCGGGCAAAGGCCATGGTAAAATATCTTGGTTGGCGTTTCAGACAACGAGCTCCAGCACGGAGATAACCACAGAGCAGATACACGCAGTCATATCGCGCGTGCTGTGCATATCGTGGAAAGAGCACGCAGAGGGTTGTATATTCTTACCACAGATGGCAGCGTATATGTCATCAACGAAGCTCATCGACGCCACAGAGATAATAAACCAAGCGTTGATGGAGGTTCTGTGCATGTTCATGAGGGACGAGGACCCGTTGAAGGAGATCAACGCGGACAGCAGCTCCTCGGACAGGGAAGACAGTCCGAACAGTCAGACGAGCCCGTTCCAGAGTCCTGTCACGACGTTCTGCCGCTGCGATATTTGTTGTAAATCGTCGCAACCGAAGAGTCTGATTTATTTGTTGGACTGTTACTCGAGGGTCGCGACCGAAGAACGAAATCACCCAAAGGTGATTGGCCAACCTTTCCTTGAAAAATCCTTTTAATTAGTGGTTTTAACAGATGGCCTTTTACCTGATGGCGAATGATGCTAATTTTGATTTCTTTTCACAAACAGAAATCAAGTACACCGCCACTGTGTGACGTGATAGCTGTTCTAAGGGCGCAGTGTGTTCAGTATTCCAGTCTTGTGCTGCAAGGCCTAGTTGGTATATCCCAGTCTTCGACCACGTACCCGTTGTCCATGACACCGCTTCTCTATCCAGTGCTTTCGCAAAGTTTACCCCGCGGTTACTTGCACGAACTCGTGGCGAGGACGCACACGAATGTTGCAGTGTGCAACAAGATTTTCACGCCGCTGTTACAAGGGCTGTACCTGTCGATGCAACAGGCCAGCCTGATCAGAAATACGCATCGAAGACCGATCGAGGCGCTGGAGGAGTTGATAGAGATCTGCTGCGGGCCGAGCAGCAACGCACGGCCGCTCTGTCGTCTGATCGTCCATCAAGTTCAGTTTTTACCTGACATCATGACGTCGGCGGCTGGTAAAGAGATCACAACGACCTCTCTTCTTGGGCCGTTCCTCTCGGTCTCAGTGTTCGCCGAGGATCAACTGGACATGGCCGAAACGTTCCTCAGTGGCAATCTGTTCGTCGACAAGTCGATAACACTGACGTTGCAGCAAGAGTTGGAGAGCATCAGAACATCGCTGCACAAGATATTTCACGCGATACTCGCGAGCAGCAACTGCCGTGAAGCCATGCTCTCCTACCTGGCGACGTTGTTGCGTTACAATGAGAAACGCGCACAGATACAAACGGAAGAGTTCTCCCTCGCCGGGGACGGTTTCATGTTGAATCTGTTGTCGGTGTTGCAAAAGCTTTCCGTGAAGATCAAGCTGGACACGGTAGACCCGCTGTATCCGTTTCACCCGGCGAGTTTCATCGACATAAAGAACGACACGAGGCTGAAACTCACGTGCCAAGAAGTCGCCGATTGGCTGAAACATTTAGAGAGGACGCACAAGTGGGTCGAGCCAAAGTTTCCGACACAATGTTGGTTCCTTACTCTACATTGTCACCATATAGCGTTGTTACCGGCTTTACAGAAATACCAGAGAAAGCTGAGGACATTGCGCGACGTGCAAAAAATGCTCGACGATCTGCAAGCTACTGAGTCGCAATGGAAAGACAGTCCTTTCGCCAGCCGTAACAAAGAGCTGATAGAACGTTGTAAGGAACAGTTGAAACATCTCGGCAAGTCCAAAGTGTACACCGACGCTGGACTAATCGACCCCCTTCTGCTCAGAAGATGCCTGCATTTTTACATTTCCGTGGCGGAGATTCTGCTCAGTTTGTTGACGCAAACCTCGCCAGGCAACCCCATTCCTGAACTGCCTTTGCCCCAAGAGGTTCCACAAAAGTTCACAGCATTGCCAGAATGGTACGTCGAAGACATCGCGGAATTTGTACTGTTCACTCTTCAGTAAGTATTGTGCATCTCGCATATATACGCGTGTATATGTGTGTATAATTTGCCTATTGTATCTATCAAGTATTTGTCTTTTATCACGTTTTTTGTCTTCTCTTTGTTTCTAGATTTTGCCCTAGTGTGATAGTAAATAATATGGATAATTCGCTCGTTACATGGTTACTTGTAGTAGTATGTACGCCACATTGTATACGAAATCCGTATTTAATAGCAAAAATTATCGAAGTATTGTTTGTGATAAATCCAAACGTTCAGGTGAGTATAGGAAAGAAATTGCAATCAATATATGTGTATATTTCTTGGCACGACGTCTGACAAATCCTCCCCCGTTTTCAGGGACGGACCGAATCGCTCCATGATCAAGTAATGGCGCATCCCATATCGAAAACGTTGCTGGCGTCGTATCTGATGAAATTTTACACGGACGTCGAGACGACCGGCTCCAGTTCCGAGTTCTACGACAAATTCTCGATCCGTTATCACATTAGTCTAATACTGAAGTCCATGTGGGACAGCCCGGTGCACCGGAAGTCGATCATCGACGAGAGCAACAACGGCAACCAGTTCGTGAAATTCATCAACATGCTGATGAACGACACCACGTTCTTGCTCGATGAGAGCCTGGAGTCGTTGAAGCGTATCCACGAGATTCAGGAGTTAATGTCTGATCTGAAAGCGTGGTCCGCGCTGTCACGCGAGCAGCAACACTCGCGGATGAAACAGTTGGCCGCGGACGAGAGACAGGCCAGATCCTATCTCACTCTGGCCAAGGAGACTGTCGCTATGTTCCAATATTTGACGGACGACATCACGGAGCCGTTTCTACGGCCGGAGTTGGTCGGACGATTGTGTGCCATGTTGAACTTCAATCTGCAACAATTGTGCGGACCTAAGTGTAAAAACTTGAAGGTGAGGATACCGCAGAAATACGGATGGGAACCGAGAGCTTTACTTAGTCAATTGGTCGACATATACTTGCATCTTGATTGCGAGGTCTTTGCTGCTGCTTTGGCTGCCGATGAAGTAAGTTGATAACACCGAGGCGGGTAACAAACTTGGGAGAGGAATTGTTCTAACGAACGTGCTATCGTTCCAGCGTTCGTTCTGCATGGAATTATTTATTGACGCCGCAAACAAGCTAGAGAGATCGGTAATCAAGTCCATCATAGAGATTGAGAGATTCGTAGCGCTCGCGGAACGTGCCGCGGACATAGCGAGGGACAACCGTGCACGCGACGCGGATTATGGCGACGCGCCGGAAGAATTCCGTGATCCGCTCATGGACACGCTCATGGAAGAGCCTGTTAAGCTCCCCTCTGGTATTGTTATGGACAAAGCAGTTATTATTAGACATCTTCTTAATAGCGCTACGGATCCTTTCAGTCGACAACCCCTCAGCGAAGATATGCTTACGCCAAGTAAGTAAATGGAATTTCTTTTTCTTTCTTTTTTTTTTTTTTTTTTTTCTTTAATAGAAAAAAGATGATTTTGGTTTTAATTTAATTATTCCATGTTCCCCTAGTGCCCGATTTGGAGAAAAGAATATCAATGTGGAAACAACAAAAGAAAAAATCGACAAAGATATAAATTGTGATCCTATGCAATAATCATTTTAAGGAAACATCACGACACCGTGTAGTCAACGTCACCTACACGGTACATTGTACCAGCCCATAGATGTATCACTCTGTGGTAATTGAATACAGTGCAATGATCTCGCTAAACGTGCAAATATTGCACTCAATAAATTTACAGTTTTAATACATTAAAACGTTAAACAGACTGCAGCTAGGTAATCGCCTGCACATTATTCTTAAAAAAGGAAAAGGAAAAAAAAAAAGAAAGATAACTTTTAAAAAGAACTTGTAAATAATTGCTGGCTGACGACATCAGTAACCAGAGAAATTAAAATCTTATTTACAAACTTAGCATTTGTTCCTTTGTACGTTCTGAATAAACACGAGACTGCGAATGAAAAATTAAAAACATACGGTCGATTATATAAAAATAGTAAGTTAAGCAGAGTAGAAGCAGGAAGAATTAACATCTTTATCTGAATTCTTTCGTTCGGAATTTGGTAATTTATGAACGGAAATCAAAAAGGGGAGGAAACATTATTTGATGCAAAATTTATGTAAGTGATTTATATAAAATATTTAAAAAGTTGTTACGAAAGCCTTTTTAAACGTTTAACATGTGTTGCACGATGGAGAAAAGATAATTTGCAGCAATTATGATTTTTTTTTTTAAGATGTACATGGTAAATGTATCATGCGTATTCCTTCAATAAATTTCATGAGTAAAGACCTGTATCTGTGTATATAGTAATACGTTATTTGAAACAATTCCAACCAATAAAATACTTCTTTATTTCTACTGTAAAATACTTAAAAAGAGGTTTTAAAAATTTTTGTTTGTAATCATCTTCGTTACGAATATTTATTTATTTCAAAATTTGAAATTACATATATAAATATCCATTTTAGAATTTTGAAAATGAATTGCATTCATTGAAAGTACCTGAAAAGTTTAAAAGTTTTGAAGGAAGTAATCTTGATCTTCATAAAACTCAAATTTTCACATTTTCACATCAATTAAAACTTCTTTTCAACTTATAAATTGCATTTATATATATATATTCGTATTTTTGTATTGAGTTATCAATTACTGATATTACATAAATTTATCATTAAATAATGTTCAAGACAATTTAATAACAGATTTTATTATAATTGTAGGTACAAAACATAAAAAGTATTACGCATCATGAAAAACAGTCTTAGATAACAAATCATTTGTTATATTCTCACTTTACGTATTGCGCTTCATGTACTTTATGTATTACATCTAAAATTTATAAATTCTATAAAAAAAAATCATCAAAAAAAAAAAAAGAAGGAACTTAAGAATAACGTAACAATGTATCAACTGCCACTGCAATTGCAAAATATTTGTTAATTTGCAGATAATTCAGATATTTTAGTTTCCTCACGTAATATCCTTTTTATAGAAAAATTAATCGTACTTGATAACGGAGGAATCTTTTACACTGCATTTGTAAATAACTTAAATGATGTAAATTTCTAAAATAAAAGGTTCATGGAACAAATATTAGTGTAAGAAATGTAAGCGACAAGTTATTGTAAATTATATATAGAAATATATTTAGATAATATTAGATGGCTTCATTTGGACTAGAAGACGAGGAAAATCCAATCTCCTCTTTGTTTACTTTTCAAAAGTTCAATTGACAATATTTAAGAAATATTGTTCATCGGTATACCTCTGCCTATTCCAATTTTTTTCAGCTTCTTAATGCTTGAAATAACTTTCCCCCTGCCGATTCCCATTGAACTAACTACCGATTCTAGATCATCGACGCACGAGTCCTCACTTGCTTCTCTCAACATTGCTTCGGAAAAGCCACGTGGTGCTCTTATAGACTTTATATCTTTACTCTCCTCTTTCAGCATGTGTTGAGAAATACAATGAGCCCTTGAAATCATAAAACAACAAAGCAACAAAATTAATATTCAACAAAAGAAAACAGATTAATCTTTAACAGAAACAAAAGAACTTTCAATTACTTCAAATCAACGTTAACGTTCACAGGAGGATTTCCTTTGGCGAAGGAATCCTCATCAGTCTCTAGATCCCAATTCTCTGTACAATCTATAGTACTTGAAAGGTCTGGAGGTCCAAAATTCGTTGCTCCGTGCTTCTTTATCTCTATGAAAAAATATACCTTGATAATTTTACTTTGAGAGAGAGAAAAAAAGTTGAAGATAAAATACAGATAAAGAGAAACCTGAATATGTTTCTAACTCGCATACGTTACGAGCCGGACAATTGATGATGTGCTCCTCGAATTCTGTTTCAAACAACCGATGAGTTGCGTTATATGGACACATGAGCTTCTCCGGGTATTGCTGTTCAATTTAAATTTTATTTGTATTTTATTAAATTTGATTTTATGTAATTATTGCACAAGAATCATTTGTTTTATTTCGAGTCTTTGAAGGACAGTGTGTTCGCAACAATACGTACCTTTTCACATTTGATAATGTGCTTCTGAATACGAGACCTCGCAATAAAGTGATTTTTGTTATACGGACATACTACAACGGGATCGAGGAGTGTACAACATTTGTACATTTTTGGTTTCTCTTCAAAAAAGAAAAAAAGAGGTAAGCTTTACCAAGAGTATAGTTTTAGGTTATACGAGTAAACACATCCTCTGTGTCCTTAGTCCTTTTTTTTTAATGTCCTCGCACCGATAGTCGAAACTGTCATAATTTCAAAACTTCGATATATATCGATCAAGATCGATAATCGATCTGTTTGAATAAAAGGAAATACCAAAAATCTGCATGTGCCGTACATTTATTTACATTTATTTATTTATAATTTATATCTCATCATTTATTTATAGTTTACACATTTACTTATATTTTATATTTTATATTTAATTTACATTTTATGTTTATATTTAAATATAAATATAATTATTAATTTACGTTTATATTTAATTTAATTTATATTTATATTTTTTGTTTCATTCATGTTTCATGCTGTAATTTATCTATGCAATGTTTATGCACCGAATTTTAATTATTAGAACTGAAATGATTTTTCTTACTAAGGGGAATAAAGGGAAAAATATTAATCGATAAACAATGATTTATTAAAGTATTGTCGTAAAAACTTATTTTTTTTTTTTTTTTTAGTATTTGTATTGTATAACAATGTATCTCGTTTTTGATCGAGATTGCAATTGTTTACATAAATATGTAAACAAAACGAACGATGTCTGTCATAAACTCATTTGTTAAATACAGTTGCAATTAATTTACACATATAATAGAATCGATCCTGATGTAATATTTCGATCAGTTGCAAGTTTATATCTTTCGCTCTCGGCGTTAAAAGTACAGTGTATTGCTTTATCGTCGACAAACAACAGAAATTGAAATTTTAATTTTATTATTTCGTTTCTCGCAGAACGTATACAAATCAATCCTGTATTAAAAAAAAAAAAAAAAGAAAGGACGATAAAATGATCGTAGACAAAGTCGCGTCGATATAATTTACAACTGTTGCATCATAAATCCGTGTACCAGTACCAAACAATGAAATAATATTCCATTAGTATTACATGTTCTCTATCTCGGGATCGTTACGCTCCCGAGATTACAAAAGATATGCATATGGTTCGTTTTATAAATAATACTACTTAATTTCTAAACAGTAAAAAGATAAATTATTTACGATAAGTTATTATGAACATATTTAACTAATTATGTAGTTTGTAATCATGATTCTGTCTTCCACACGTAGTTCAAATGCAAAGACACGCTGGAGACGGATAAAAATTGAAATTTCTGAATGATGTAACTCTGATTCATACCGTATCCAAAACGGTTGCATTATTACAAAGTTATCTCCAAAATGTCCTTTGTAATACAAATATTAGTAATGTGACGACACATTAAGAAACGTGTTGTGATGTATCGCGTAATCAATAATTTAAAACAACCTAAATGTCGTGGAAATAACGTTTATAAGTTATTGTAGGATTACATGTACGTAGGCTAACAGCTGCCCATATAATTGCTTGGACATTTAAGTTCCTTTCCGAATAATGATACAAGGCGGTATGTATGTTACAAATAGGGAAGAGGATCCACAAGTAAACAAGCAATAACGTATAAAATGCCCAGAAACATGTTCAATTTAGCTGTTTGCTTAGGCACACTTTGGATCATATGGGGGCTTCTAAATTGTTTCTCTATTTTGAAGGCAGTTGGTAGAGTAGTAACTGGCAACAGAAACCATATAGAATACCTCAATGCAAGTACCACCAGTGTTACGTATGGTGTAAATAGTAAAAAAGCATACAAAACATGAGACACAGTATGACCAATTAAAATAGCTAACGTCACTATACCTGCCTTCTTGTCACTTTCTAAATCTCGGGTATTGTTACTATGCAGAATAGCCTCTGTGTTTAATGCAAGAGGTATAGCATAGTATATCGTGCCTAGTTCAATGTAACCGGTTTGAGCCATAAATGCAAACAAAACTGAAATTGGGCCAAATATAACTAGTATAAGGACGTCGCCCAGCGCAATGTATTTAAATCCTATTCCTCCTGTATAAAGAAACGAAGAGGATAAACCACCAAAATACACTAGAGCGAGATGTTCCATTTTCGCAGGAGATATAGTGGTTAATAAAACGAAGCCCAAACATCCCGCCGTATATAACAACGCACCTAACGAAACTAGTTCATCTTTTGACAAAAGTTGATCTACCAATATCCTGTCGTCACTTTTTCGGCTGTCGACTCCTTTTATGTAATCGAAGTAAGTATTCACTACGTTACCAGCTCCATGTACACAAAAAACTGTATATACTGTTAAGATCAAAGATATCCAACTAAAACTTGCTGTACTTGTTAACCGATATGCTAACGCAGATCCAAGAAGCGTTGGCATTAACGAAGCGCTTAGCGACCATGGTCGAACGGCTAGGAAATATGAAGACAATTTCATAAGCGGAGAGTTCAATGTTGAGGATGTTACTGGCGGACAATTTTTGTTGTTTGACATTGGTTTTCCCCCAACTTCTTCAGTAGAGACCCAAATACCATTGGACATCATACTTTACGTTGTGCTACAAAGAAAAATATGCCATTATATAATGATAAGAAGTAGAATGTAATACTTGTAATAATAAAGTAGACTTATATAATGCAAAAAAACAAACTTATACTGATTTATTTCGATATATTTTTAATACATTTTTAGTCATATAAAAATAAATTCTTTAATCAAAACGCAGAGTGAATTTTAATTTCAGAGACTAAAAATTATTTACTTTTTTCCTTTTCTTTTTTTGATAAACTGGTAGATTTTGACGAGCTGAGACCAAAAATGCAAATTTGAAGACGATGAATCCACCGAGGTCAAAAGTTATGCCTACATTAAAGTAAAAGACTTCAGTATGTTTTTTATCATTTTAGTGTCACTTCCTGCGTTATCGATACAGCGTTCTCTTTAAAAATTACATATCACATTTTTGAGACCATCTTTGGGTTAGGTCTATATAAACGGGCCGGACGAAAGACGGCCGGAAATCCTTAGGGCTGCGGTCGCCAAACATTTACGTTAAAAAATATTTTTTTTCGGGGGGTTTTAACTTTTGGGTCATCGAAAATCCTTCTTGCAAACATAGTTTTTATCTAAAAGGACCCGTACGAACCAATAAGATTATGCGTGGAAGCGAATGTAGCCTCATACTAACCTGAAAAGTACGTTGAAGATGCTCACTTTTATATAACTTTTGATCCAATGGATTCCTCGTCTTAAGAACGCATTCGTATCTGCATTTTTGGTCAGAACACATCGAAATCTACTAGATTGCTGAGAAAAATGTTAAGAACTTTCAATCCCTCTGCAGTATGGTCTAACCGAAACACATTTTTCACTAATATTTATGACAGAGATATTCACAGAAGAATACGTTGAGTATTACTTGCCTATTGTTCATTCGAATGAAGAAAAGCTAGGTTAGAACGACTTCCATAACACTTCAACGAACGTTTCATTTTTCAAGTACATTCTGTCTACGATGAAAAATGTTTAAATTCGCGCGAAGGAAACAATTTTCACATAGACGTTGACATTTGAAATTGGCGTACAAGGAAAAATTCAATTCCTCTTTCTGCTTTGTGCATGTATGTGTATGTGTGTATGTACTGTTAAATGTATCGATGACGTGTTTTCATTAATTTGCACGTGGCGCTCTCTGAGATTTTATATATCTATTCCCTTTATCCTAAAATCAAACAGCACAACCAATGAATTTTATTATTCTCACCAAACAAGTATATTCTTTGTTTTCTTTTCTTTTTTTTGCAAATTGTTACTTTCATTCGTATTTCTCTGTTTTCTCTTCATTTTTGATTAATATGATTAATACTGTTATTAATACGATTTGAATCGTAAATGAGAACGATTTCTTACAATATAATTTTTACAATAATTTTTACGTTTTTCTTAGAAACGATCAACTTGAAACAGTTTAAATTAATCTACGATCGACTGGAAGAGGTAACTTTTCAAAAAAATTTGAAACTCGATTTGCAAAAAAGTCAAAAATCGAAGAGTATAGTAGACTGTAATCACATTGGTTAAAGTACAGTAAAGTTCACATGCGGATGAGCCGTAACATCGAAACTGCGCGTGCACATGCGTGCGACTGCAACGATTCGACCCGATCGCTGTGTACCGTTCGTTACTTGGTTTATGATCGGTGGTGTCAGGTAGTGGCCGAACATTTTGTTAGATTACTGTTTCCAGAAGTTTCTGCACCCTCCTCGGCCAAATTCCTCGCTAAAATTTACCTCGTCCCGTCCGGTCCAAGTGACCGCGTTTCTCCACTCTCAACTATCGATCGTAATTTCTCGTTTTTCTTTTCCCACAAACAGTTCGTCTGACTGTTTCTCAAAATGTCCTTTTTCGGTTCACTGATGGGCGATCTGAACGACGATCCTATTTTCGGGTAAGTATCAGAGTAGTTTTTCGCTTAGTGTTAACTCCTTACGAGAAATAAGAGATGTTTATGTTGAACATTTTTTTTTTTTTATTATTTTATCGTGATTACCGTCAAAACATTATTTCGTGAATCTCGTCGCACGAATTTGTACAAACTTTGCGCAGGAAGTACATTTAGGCTCGATCTTAAAATTCTGTACGTTTACCAGATAAAAAAAATTTCAATTTGTGCAAATTTGACTTTACTTAATCTAATTTAAGATACGACACAAAGAACGCAAAAAACACTTGCTTCAAATTTCAAACCATGTTTGTTTTTATTCCATTTCCTTGTTATTTAATGTTTGTGATCTTATTTCTGTTGTTATTTAATGTATTACATAATCATTGATTTTTTTTATGTGATTTTCATTATAATATTTGTGTGTGTTTCTTCGCAGGTCTCATATGCAATCTATGAGCCACATGAATGACATGATGACTTCTCTGTTCAATGATCCGTTCGGTATGATGGCTCATCCTCGCCACAATGCTATTACACATGCCAGTCACAGGGACAGAGGTCGTCAGGACGAGCTTCAAATATTGCCATTTGGATTTCCATCGTTTCATAATGTGTTCTCAAATTTTGTACGTTAATTTTTTTTGCTTACCTCGCTTACAAAGGGTTCATGAATTTTAAAAAAAGCTAATGCGAACAAAATGTTTTAGGATAATATGGCACAAAGCACAAATTGTCATTCCTTCACTTCAAAGTCTGTAATGACATTTGGTACAGATGGACACCCACAGGTTTATCAAGCAACCATGTCCACAACGACTGCTCCTGGTGGTGTGAAAGAAACGAAGACAACAGTTTGTGATTCTCGTACTGGAACAAAGAAGATGGCCATTGAACATCATATCGGAGATAGAGCACATATCTTAGAGAGGGAACACAATCTGCACAGTGGTGAACAGGAAGAGCGTGAAGAATTTATTAATCTTGATGAAGGTAACAGATTTTTGAAAGCGAGATTTATTTTCATCATACGTAAAACAAATATTTTGTTTCGCAGAGGAAGCAGAAAGCTTTAATAATGAGTGGGAGACACGTGTTCGTCGTTATCATGGTGGTAATTCTCACTATAATAGTCATGGTCATCGAAATCGATCTGATCATAGGCAGCTGGCTTTACCTGATCCATCAGGAAGGTTAGTCAATTGAATTTATTTGTAACATCTCATGGATAATTTTTCCTTTGTTTACAATTATTTGCACAAAGAAGTATAAAACTATTTGAATTCTTTTAACATTTTTTACAATTAGTTTTTAATCTATTTTTTTTCGTATAAAATATTAATACATAATAGTATTAAGATGTAGCAATTATATGCATGCTCTATATGAGTATAGACATGTGCTGATGTGTGCATGTATAGCAATATTATATGTGTAGCATTTATTGACAAACTGAAATTTATGCAGTGTGCATAAGAAATCCAGGAGACGTACGAGTAAAAAAAAGTGAATGGAGAAACAGGATCAAGTTATGTCATGTCACTTTGCGCATTCCCTGCCAAATTTTGTATTAAACGCATAAATAAAAACATTTAAGCTTTAATTTTTATCTTTTCTGTCTAGTTTGTCTAGTTTCAATCTAGTGGTTAGGAAAAACTATGTATACATTTTATATTTTAGTTCTTTTGTGATATTTATATGTTTAGTTTTTTATATTATTTGCCATATAATGATATGATACCGCTATGTTACGTGGATATACGATTAATGATTAGTCTATAAATATCATTACAGTAGTAAATTAGCTGCAACATATTTTATAGTTTCATTTCTCGATAGAAGTGTTTTATAGTAATGTAAAATCATTGAGTTTAATAAAAGATTATGTATCAAAACATATATTGTTACGCCTGAATTTTTTTTTTTGTCTAATATAACATACAAGCAAAAACCAGTGTTTCAAAATTTTGAACATTCTTTTACTTTGTTACTTTATCGTATTTTTTTGTGCATTATTGATTTGCTTATTGTATACTTTCATAGTCGATATTCTAATCCTTCGAGATGGACATCTAGACGTAGTTTAAAATTGCCAACACCATCTAAAGTAAACACTCCCACTTACAGTTTAAGGTAAGTTTCACTTCTCTTTTAGAGTTCTCGATATTGTATATATGTCAAAAAAATACATTCCATTTATTAATTAAGAAAATCCATGTTATCCGCATATGGATATATTATGTATTGTAATATCTGTGAGATATAAAATCTATAATTTTTACCTGTATCTAAATATACAAGCATATGTGTGTTAATGTCATTATGATATATGAACAATTACTTTCATGTTTATGTCTCAAAGTTACTTTTCATTTATTTAAAATGTCCATGCATCTGTGTAATAAAATTGATAATAAAACATGTCAGAAATGGAATTTTATAGTAGCATGTAATAGTTATAAGCGTAGCAAGGATATATATTCCTAATTTGCTGCATGCTTATTATATATATTATAAGTAACGTGTATCTTTTTAACTTTAATTATATTTCAAGGCAAAGTGTTGAAAGTCGAAAACTTGTCTTTTACTTTAAAATTATTTTTTTATTTCTATATCAGATTACAAAATATAAATTATTCGTTACTATATTTGTTTATATAGTCCGTTACTTATTTTGTCATCTGTAATACAACAAACAACATTGGTATAAAATATACCATATATTGTGTATTGCAGGTACAGCCGCAAATATTAATAAAGTAAAAGCATAGTACACAGTGGTGACACTTATGCAACGTAAGTACGTTGCGTTTCACTTCATATTTATGTTCTGATATTTCGATTAACAATTTTATTATAATTTTTTTCCGATATATTTTTCCAATGTTATATTCTATCTACTACTTGGCAAAATAAAGAATTTATCAATTATCCTTTCTTTTTCCACAAAAATATTTTCGAAAATTTGTACACATGGACTAACGACATTGCTGTATTCTCATTCTCATGTTTAATCTTAATCATGATTAAAGACATGTTGTTGTTTAACGTTTTCATGTTTACAGTTCGAGTTCTTCCAATTGTATTGAAGATACTAAATCTGCGTCAGCTGCAACTACAACCGCAATAGGAAATCGAAAACGTAAACATATACCGGATAATAAAGTCTGCAAAAAGTGTCACGTTGTACCAGATAGGAATGTGTAGATCCTCTATTCAACTATTCAGACTACTATATTGCTGATGATATTACAGAACTTCGGTAAAATTCGTATCGTTTAATAAAATTACGTTGAATCTAGAATAGTTTTATTATCAATTTCTTATATCACGTTCCTATAGACTTAAACAGATTGTAGTACAGTTTTCTAATTTCCGCATATTTTCTGCAAATAAAAATTTGAAGGATACATTTGTATTAGGTATTTTTAACAGTGAGTGATTTACCGAAGTTATGCTGCAGTTGTTTTCCATTTTACATATAGACTTACTGTTTCGTAGAATCTTTACGAATGACAACATATATGTAGAAAGTCTACGATATGAAATAATATATATCAATGTGTACGAGTATGAGAGTAAGAATGTCAAAAAATATTTTCATTTTGTATATCTATGTACGTCACAAAAAAGGTATGCCGTAAAATTTAATTTATCAATAAAAATATACTTTGTAGTTGAAATGTTATTGAGGTTTATCAGACTTTCGTGAATAACTTCAGTTTTAGTCATTTAGCTCTTTAATATCAAAAGAGCATTCGATTTTAAGAATATGTTAATATATTCACAATTTTAAATGAGAATGAACATATTTTGGGGTAGTATATTTATCAATAAATGTACAATTTAATGTAATAACTTTTGTCACTGTTTATTCAAATAAAACTTATAGGTTTAGTATAACTTAATTCACCTTTATACTAAAGACAAAACAATTGAATACAAGTCAACCCTAATACCATCATTTTTTATGAGTTTTTTTTTTTGTATAAAACGCAAGCAAGAAACTAATTTCTTAAACCCAGCAGTGTTTCGACAAAAATGTTCAAATTTTCTAAGATTTTAAAATGATCTATGATTAAATATTTATATCGATAATAAGAATAGATAGATGAACAGAATTTTGAAAATATTTAAAAAGTGATTAATATGTACATTAATATTTCCATTGAACTGTTAACAACAACGCATAAAATACGTAAATTTCATTAAAACTCAATAGAAAATATTATACCCTATTTTATAACAAGGATAAAATTATTATCTGCAGAACATAGTAAAGCTATTAAAATAATCATTAACAAAATAAAAAGAACATAAGAGGATAACTGGCAAAAAAAATGATACACTATATATTGTCTGCACCGCACAGGGCAGATTGACTTCTGTTAATTGTCTTCTGCTAAAGTGTTGATTCTCGAATTAATAGCCAGGAGTTGAGCCACGAAGGCTGAGTCGCACATAACTGTAGCCAGAGTACATAGTAGATCCTCTAGAGTATCTTGCGAGAGACCTAATTGCCGGGCACATTCAGCAATAATTTCTTTCTCTTCAGCATCAGGATTTATCTGATAATAGACAAGTCAATATTAATTTTATTCACAAACGTTTTAACATCAATTTATATGTCTAAATGTAAAAACTTACCTTCGGTGAACTACAGAATTTGTTAAATGCCATTTTGATTCTTTTTTTGCCATTGTTCGTTTGGTAAAAAATTGAAAAAGTTTGTGCATTATTCATATCCAGCACAACAGGGAAATATATGCCGGCTGTAACATGACCCTTGGTGTCTCTCGCGAGAAGACTTCTAAAGTTATAAACCAAATTTCTGCGTTCGGTAACATCGATGGCAGTTAAATAAGGCCTTGCCACGTATATAAGAGCAACTTGTGTTCTCTCCAAGGTACCGGATCGGATTTTTCTCTCATGCCATTCAATGTAATCAGAATCGTTAGCACATAGGAAGTAATTGTACTCTTTTTTGCAATCTGGCTCGTCAGATTGAATGAACCAGCCTGTATGTGGGTATAACTTATCTTCCATCACAGTGATCACGCGGGCCACGTGATATCCAGGATCCAAAAGCATAACTCCTCTCCGTCCGCCAATTTCGATTTTCAGGCACACCAGTACATGTTCCTTCTCTCCGCTATCTGCAGCGGGTGGTCCGCCAACGTAACTAGCGACGTTATCGATCGTCTGTACAAGAGGAAGAAAATCTTGATTTACAGAGTAAAAAAAAGAGAAGCCCTTGACATACGAGTTAAATAAAATGATGATCGATATGATTAAAAAAATATTTGTTTTTCATTGAAATACAGGTAACTTGGAACATAGGATATGCGTTGAAGAGAGCCATATCAAGCACTTTATATTCTTATATACGTATTAACCTGCGGATGTCTCAGAGACGTCATTGTCAATTTTAGTTTAACAAACGCATGACATCTTCTAGACGTCATGGTATATCAAGGAGTTAAGGATCATAAATGTACCTCTTCACAGGACACTAAATAAAGGCCGCTTGCTATACCAGGAAATCTTTTGTTCAAACATCTCAAACGGTACAGCAATTCGAATCCCAAGCCCACACAGGTATGATGTTCGCGTGTTATTAGTGGTTGATACTTGTGATAAAATCTCTCCAGTATGGTTTCACCGCTTGCAGTGTAATCCTTATAGAACCTGTCAAATGCAAGAACAAGGTTTACTCCTTTTTACCAATAGCCCCCAAGCAAGAACTCATAAAAGAGTACGTTGTGACAATTACTTAAGGAAATTGCCAATGGTGTCATAGCGATGCTCACGCAGTAAATGTTGCGTTTCTAGTTCAACGCTGCCTGCTAGTTCCTCATATTGTTCGACCGTTGGAACGGTCAAGGCCGGTGCCTCGTAATGGGCCCATACCGGCAGAGGTAGCGGCACACCCCTGATCCAGGGCCCGCGTGCCTGCCCCTGTGGCTGGCACCATATCTCTGCCGTCTCGAGTCAACTTGGCCATTCGCTTCCCCAACGGCCCACTGTTGGCACAAAGCCATGCTCATCCCTGCAGCTGCTTATTGGCTCCACAGGGCTCTCTCCGTGTTTTATACTCTTCTCTCGCTCTGCAAACACAATAATAATTATTCAAGGTAGTCTAAAAAAATCTTATTCAGATGTGCGAATGAGAATTAATTATTCATACGTTTTTTAGAAAATATTCGCGTTTTCAATAAAAAAAAAAAATTACGTCACTGTATGAAATTCTACGCGGCTGATTTTTCTTATCTCCATCGAAAGATCGTTGTTCGAAGGAGACGCAAGAGACAAAGTATTTGCGTCGCACGTCACGTAAGTGTAAAACTGTCAGTCGACGCATGTGATGATTCATTCGTCGCTAATCACTTATCTCTGTCGATAAATTTGCTTACCGTATGTCCATTGCTATTTAAGCACACGGATTAACACGACTCCGTATGAGAAAATTTGTGAAATGAGTGCGGAGAGGCGGATCGGAGTTGTTGCTGGCTCTAACATGGCGACACAACACGTACGCGTGATGAATCAATACACGACCAAATAGGTACGTAGAGCGTGCCACGTGTCTACTATGACTTCCAGCGATACCATTCGCGTTAGTACGCTGTTTTTTCATTTGTCGAATTTCGAAAATTAAAAAGAAAAGAAAAAAAAAAGAAGAAAATACTTCCGATACTGACAATGCGCCGAATATTTATCGAGAGATATAGGAAGGTGTGTCAATATTTCTGGCACGTAACATGTCCTTCGAACCGATTCAAAACAAATTGACCAGTATGATCAAAACAATTACGTAAGAATGAAAAAAAAAAATACACATATATATACATATATATATATACGTATGTATTTGTTTGACACTCTGCAAGGAAAAAATTCGAATTTCAAGCAAATTTCAAAAATAACGATATATTACAAGCGTAAAATTCCCAAACGATGCTGAAACACCGATGTTTACATTTGTTTCGTAATCTGGTTTTTCAATTCACGACTTGCGTGACGTTATTTCAATTCACGACTTGCGTGACGTTATTCGCGTCAGTGTTAATAAATTAATAAAAGTCGGTTCTTACTGCGTCATTAAAAAAAAAAAGTACTATTTAGGTTGCATGTACGCGTGTAAACGTCGAAAGGCAGTTCGCTCGTAAAGTAGAGCATTCAGGCAAAATGTTTCAGGCACGCATCGGACGAATTACTTTCTCGAAACACGAATCGGTCGCTGTATCTTTCGAAAAGCAAATAACAAATAAATCCCCCGGATTCGACGAAAGGGAGTCAAAATATATCGTGTACAAACTTACCCATACAACGAGCGCACCAAACAAACAAAAACTTTCCCTCGTCGGAAGGCTTGACACAATTCACACGTCCGGAGTCCAACTAGAACTGGGTGGTGAAATGTGTGCTGTGTGCTCAAGATTATATACGTACAGGTTTCTCCTCTCTCCCTCGCCTCGTTTGCAAGCTTTGATAATTCACCCACGTGACCGCTGCCCACGTAAAGTTTAGAACACGTAGACGCTGCGCGTCTTCTTTCTCATTGTAAACAAATTAGAAAACCGATTCCCCTGCATCGAACAGGACAGCATCGTTAATCTTCTCATTGGCTTTACATCGCGATCACCTTTTCGCACGCTCGACGACAGATCAGGCGTTTGCCTATTCCGAACTTTGCGCAGATTCGTCGAAATCCCTCGTTCCCCGACCCTTTTAAGAACGGTCTGAAAGCGATGAATTACCATCCGAAACAAAGAAAATCGGCCACCGGGGGGAATTTATCCTCGACACGATTGGTCGAACGACGATGAATGCCGAAAAGCGGCATTTTCTTCAGTTATCCAGCCGTCGAAGCCTTATGTTCGCTCCTTGCGCTTTATTTGTAAGCCGTAACGTCATTTTATGAAACTATGTAGTATAATTACTGGAATTTTCAGGAAGGAGAGAAAAGAACAAAGAATAGATATGGAAGGATCGGTCTCACTTTTCGTCTGCTCCGTATGCATAGCATATGTGTATGTGCATGTACACGTGCCGTATGTGCAAACATACGTGTACGATGTGTATGTGCACGCAATGCAAATGCAAACGCGAACTGTTTCTTGCATAGATCGAGTGCGCTGTTCCAAATGACCTTGAACCGGAATTTCTAAATTCTCAACAAAGAAAAGCGTGGAATTCTTATCGCGATAAGTCGCAAAAGCGAACGTTGGTCTAGTGAATCAGCTGACGTCACGCGAAGGCACACGTACTATAGGTCCGTATGTTTTGGGGTCCGTACCTACACATAGGCAAATTACTACACAGCCACGTTAGATACGCTATCTATGCGACCACGTGACCGCAGTGTGACTCGACGACGGGAAATTACTACGCAGTTGCATTATTTATTCGCGAAAATTGGAAACGAACCAATTGCCCCACTGGCGCGATTTCGGTTTCGACAATGGATTATTGTTCTTTCGTTTCCAACTTTTGCATTGGCAGGGAAGCTATAGTGCATGTGAAAGCCGCTACGCGACTACATTGCAATTTTCGTCCACCTAACGATGTACACGAATGTCGCAATGTTTTCACGTTGGATATTATTATTTTCTTGGTCTTATTTATTACTATTTAGTTGTTATTTTGAGTAGCTTCGTGCCATTTAATTAGTCACGTATATATTTCCACGAATTTCCGTGACTAAGTAAAATACTTGATTCTTTATACGTATTTCCATGAAGTTTCCGTGACTAAATGAAATACGTGATTCTTTGTACATATACAGGCTGTCTCACGACTCGCGGTTCTACATGTAAAAATCTGTCGAAAAGAAGGAATAAAATGTTTTCATTAAAACCTTCGCGAGGACAAAAATCGAGTTTGAAAATTTATCAGCTATGTATCGAATTTAGCTAATTCTATATTGGATAGGCGCGAATAATCGACAGGAGAATGTCATACACTCACAAAAGTAAAATGAAATGTTTTTAATGTTTAAGGCTCCGTTTTCAAGAGAATAAAAACTTTGAATGTGTCTCGTTAAAAATTACCTTAGGCACACGTGTACTTCATAAATTCTTCAAACTCGAGTTACTCAATACGAGCTATTTCGTAGGATAACTTCCTGTCAATTACTCTATTCTGTCGCGTTTAGAACCAGCTAAATTCAAGTCGACAAATTTTGAAATCCGATTTTTGTTAATCTTCCAATCGCGGTAAACAACACGACATATATCGATTTAAAAAATATTTGTACAAGTATCACAATAGAACAGTTCAATTGCGCAAGATTATGAGAATGTATGAGTCATAGAGATCGGTGACGTAAAGGTATATCCTATTAGTACATAGTTTAATCTGCATTATTGCATTAAAGCAAGTTTAATACACTGAGACAAATAACAATAAAAAAGGGAGTAATTTTTATTAACTTTTCAGGTCATTCGTTACGGTCTTCAAGTAATGTTTGTATACGTCTTACTTAAGTCTGAAGTTTGTTACACATGATTTTTTTGGCAAATGGACGATAACCTATTGGTTGCAATGTACTATTACAGGCGTTATCATTTCGACACATAGAAACCTAGACACGAGGATATTTTTCTTCTTTTATCGCACTTGGCATTTTATTTTGCGTCTTTCTAATACTGCGGAATTGATACGTGTTGCGTATATTTTCCAGACATTTAGAATTTTCCAGACGCATATGAGATATGACTATCATACATGAAACATGAGAGTTACATTTTCTATTGATTACATGCAACATGATACGCGCACGTATAAACATATCTATATATCTATATATGTTTTTTAAGCTTCTGTCAAACATACACAATCTCAATTTATCATCGATTAATTAATTTGTTTTGTTTCTGGATATCGATAACAAGTATCAGGACTCTCGAGTTTATCAGCACTTAAAAAAATTTGCACACGGAAATGTGCGATAAAGTTAAGTGACAATGAAATTACAATTTCTACAACGATTGCGTTAGGCTATTATACAACTTTATAATAGCCACGTTAATTTTGAGAGCATTCCAAAACGATCTGAATTTGGCATTACAGCGTGATAGTTACAAATAGAATTCTTGTATTCGGAAAATATGATTTCAAACGTTTGAAATCAAATGTTTTCGTGCAACAAGTCTGATATCTTATTCGTACCACGTGATATGGATGGCCCAATCGCACGGTTCGGCGAGGGAAGGAAATTGTCTATGCGCAGATAATGCATGTAGATTATTATGAATATTTCGCCAATATGAACTTGCATAATACATTTTTCTTGTATTAATCGAGATCGATATCTTCTTATCATATCTTTTTTTTCATGCGAAAGTGTACAAAGAATATCGAACGTGCTTGATATAAAGTGTGTTAATATTTTGTACACTAGTGAAAAGAGAAAATTTTCATGTTTGTCACAGATTGTTCACCGTAGCAATGTAAATGATGATTTCACTAGACTCTTTGCAGTCTAAAATAATATTTTGAAACACTATATAATTTGCGTTTATCATTTTTTTGAAATATCTATTAACTTCATATTTATGAACATATGGCAATCACCGCCCTAAAGAGTACATTTAAAATTTTTTTTGTTTTAGATAATAAAAAAAATACTATAGTGCGAATAAACATGAAGTTGATATGGGGTTAATGCTGCATAATATTTTTTTGTGTATATATCTTTGTAATAATGATGATATTATATTAGAAAGATGACAACATTAGGAAGAATTATAATATAAATGTATATATGTTAAATGATAATTCAACTTCTGCTATTTACGCTTAATTAAATTACATTTAAATTAAGTTATTTTTTATTTTCAGAAGTTTAGGAAAGTTGCATTAGCTATGCCTCTGTTGGGAGAAATTGAAGTTTCAACAATGAAAGTTGAACCGATAGATAATTTATATCTTGCGTTGATACAGTGCTTTGCAATTATATTATGCGGGTAAACTTGATCTTTGAATTTTTATCATATAAAGTATGGAAATGCACATAAATAAATTGCTTGTTTTTCAGCTACATCGCTGGAAGATTTGATGTTATCACTAAGACAGAAGCAAATGGCCTAAATACGTTTGTAGGAACGTTTGCCCTACCTTCTTTAATTTTTATGTCACTGGCAAAGCTTGATTTTAGTCTAGTAAACTGGAAGTTCCTTCTTGCTGTCTTGATAGCTAAAAGTTTTGTGTTTTTTATTGTTCTTGGTATATCTCTAGTTATTAAAAGACCATCAAATCCAGGTTGCGCTGCACTTTTTGCAATATTTACTACGCAAAGTAATGATTTTGCTATTGGATATCCAATGAGTAAGTAAATTCATAGTAGAGATCAGTACAACTTAGAAAATAAAATAATGTATTTTTATAGTTCAAGCACTATATGGCCAAACACATCCCGAATATGCTGCTTATTTATATTTAATGGCACCTATATCATTGGCTATTCTAAATCCAATCGGCTTTGTATTATTAGAGATTGGTAAACGTCGCAATGAAGACCATGGAAGTTATGGAAACATGGTTTTTTCTATTATAAAAGGAATTGCCCTAAATCCAATACTTGTTATGACCGTTCTCGGTATTCTTGGTAATATTACCTTCAATCATCTAGTACCTGCTGTATTAGCAACTGTACTAGATATATTTGGCAATGCTTTCTCTGCAAGTGCTCTTTTTTTATTGGGATTAATGATGGTTGGAAAAGTGCATAAATTGAAGGGTACAGCTCTTGTAATACCAGGTATATTGATATCAGTGAAATTGCTGGTACTTCCCTTGGTTATAAGAGAATCAATCATTCTCTTGAATGCTGGAGGAAATACTACAGATACTCAGGATCTAAGTACATATGGATTTTTGTATGGTACTATTCCCACAGCACCGGCCTTATTTATTTTCACTCTCCGATATAATCTAGAAATTGATTTGATCGCATCAGCAATGGTCGCTTGTACTTTCTTATCCGCTCCATTAATGTTTGTATCAGCGAAATTAATCGATGCTGTTTCTACTGGAGTTAGTCCAGAGAACTATGCACATCAATTAAATGTATTTTCTTTCGATGTAAGCATTGCTTCAGCAACAGTATGCGTGTGGCTTATAATCTGTTTCGTTGGATTAAGAAGAAAAAAATATAAATGCGTCACTCATAAATGTACATTTTGTATTGTGATTGCACAGGTTTGTATTCAATTTTATTAACTTAATATTTATATTGATTTCGTTTGTACAAAAATTGTGATTTTAGCTAGCTACAGCCATAGGTGTTATAATATGGACCAAACTTGAATCTCATAATAATGGTTCAGTTTTATGGTAATTGCTTTCTGCATTTATTCTGAAGTTTTCAATTTGATTTTTTACGTTACTTTGACTGTGATTTATTGCAGGTATATCCAGTTCAGTTTAATTACTGTGGGAGTATATGCAAGTCGTATGTGGACTGTAGCAATAGCTGTTACTTTATTATATTTAAATTCTCGTTCTATAGATTTTGTTCACAATATTCAGAAATGGTTTTATGCTATTGGATGGGGGTATGATTAATACTTGTTCTTTTTCTGCAATTAATCTTGAAAAGAGAAAAAGGAAAATAAGCATTAATATTCTTTCAGAATTCCAATTTTAATAGTGATTATAATGTGTTGTACTATGTCTCCAAAGAAATTTGATCTTGAATTCAGAAATCCAAATTTCCAATTTAGTACAGTTCAAGCTGCAATTTCTACTTTTATATTAATATTTTGTTTCATTGGTAAGTATATAACGTACAATGTGTATATGATTAAATAA